CCCCAATGGGGGTAGCCACTGTAGCACACGTGCCCCTCCCCCGTGTACTCTCGCCCATTAAGAATCTTGATTGCGAACGAGGAGAACCAATCACGTACCCCTCCCCCCTCCCCCGTGTACTCTCACCCATTAAGAATCCTGATTGCGAACGAGGAGAACCAATCACAAGGTGATACTCTTGCTAATGACTCCCACTCAGCCCCATGCAGTCTCGTCACCACTGCACGCCGATAAATGGTGGTGGCCAAAAGTAGAATTGATTAAATGTCCTTTTTTCACACAAACTTATCTGCGACTAAATCAGTGTCTACCGAAGGCTGTGCTTCCACTAAATAACAACCTTCAGGACGAAACAAACTGTTTCGTGTCACAGTACATTATGGTAACAGGCTCTAGAAATTTAGTATCTGCATCCAAAATTTTATAATTTTGCAAATTTCGGACGGCATGAACCGAATTCATCAACAGGTCAACTGAATGTTTTACAAAATGCATCATTTTTATAACTTTTCGCGATTTACACGGAACATCATCAAACGACCACCTTCCGTGGATCACCACCAAAATCACAAAGTTTAGCGGTTCGTGCGCTCTTGTCGTTAATTTGGGTGTTAGGGCGCGTCGAATACTGTGGTCATTTTGCACACTTCCACAGCTACTGTTCACGGGATGCGGTCCGAGCGATGGGAAGGGAGACAGTTTCCCCTTCGGATCCGGACCGAGTGATGGGGAGGGAGACAGATTCCCCTGCGGATCCGGGCCGAGCGATGGGGAGGGAGACAGTTTTCCCATTCGGACCCGAGCCGAGCAATGGGAAGGGGGGGGGGGGAGACAGCTCCCCCTTCGGATCCGGGCCGAGCGGCGCTGCAGTGCCAAGCGCATAATCGCCTGTAGCAGTTCAACGAGCGTCTATTTGCCAGGTTAGGGACGGCCGGTTGTGGGAAATCAGAACACAGATTGCATGCCCGAGCCATGCATGGCAACCATCCACCAAAATTTACCCAAACACATTGAATTGCCACATAGTTGTATCAAACTTTTTTCGCTGATGAATTCCATTAATCAACCCCTTAAGAAACTTTGTCTTCTTGGCTCTTGTCAAACAAGTGCCTCAAAACAGGCACGTAAAAGTACTAATTGTCATCAAAAGCACAACACTGTTGTACGAAAACAACAGTGTTGTTTTCGTGTGAAAACAACAGTGTTAAATAAACCTGACCTTCTGAAATCAAAATAATTTCGAAACTGACCAAAAACTTCGAATTGCTCACCCAAAAACCCATGACATCAACAGAGGTCGTTAAAAAAACCGTTACTCGTAAACATAACTACTGCAGATAACGCGGTTATCGGAAAATGACAATACTGCAGTTAAAAAGATGCAAACACTAGCGATGCAACTTGCGACGAAGCACCACAGAACCAAACGTGGGAACTACATTAGCGAGCTGGAAAGACGGCGTAAGCAGCAACACAAAATATTTAGACAGTGGATACTAGACAACTTATTATGACCAGCGTGATACCTGAGCTGGCCGTGTGCCCTGTCTGAACCCCCCTATCATTCTTCCGGTGTTTGTTTCACGATGTGCACTATATGTCCGCTATATCACCAGCGTCGCAATGCCTCGCGCCCACTCTAATGAGACAAACCTAAACGCGTTTGCCGGTCCGTCTCAAGCTCAGGCCTCACATCCACAGCATGTTGCCAGTGTGGTCCGAGTCAATCCCCTCCCAGGTCACCTCCGAGCCCGTCGGGCGCGCGTCCGCCGGCGTTTTTCAAGACTAGACCGAAGTCCAGGGGCAGTGTCAACCGGGCGGGGTGGGGGCGGGAGAGACGGGGGGGGGGGGGGGACTGGCACCGGGCCGCCCGGCCCCACCGGACGGTGGTCCCTGGTGGCCGACCCGTTACCGCGGCCATGGCAGGTCGGCTACGGCAGGGCCGCAGATTCCTGGCCGAATGAGACCGAACCCGGACCGGGCGGAGCGAGCACAGGGCGGGATGCTTGAACTGGTGTGACGGCGCGCAAAGGGCTCCGCTGCAATTCGACACGTGGAACGCCCCGAAGGGTGTTCAATTAGCGACACAACTATATATATATATAATTATCTATATATATATATATATATATATATATATATATTATATATATTATATGTATATACACGTTGATCCATCGAATTATGGAAGGCGTTTCCGAACCTTCGATTTCAGTTTCTCTCTGCTTCGGCGATTCCGTTCACCTGCAGACTATGTCCTAGACAACGTGTAAAACACCGACGTTTCAAGTTCCCGACCAGTTCCATTGGCCCGGGTATCGGCAATGATAGACTTGATAAAATGCAGCTCGAAATTCCAGGATTTCGGCTCCTTTAATCTACGCTGCAGAATCATGCTCAAGACCACAGCCGTAAACACAGACTTGACATGTTTTAGACAACGAAGCACCCGCAACACGATGGCGGACCAACTTGGTTGCGTCTGAGGACAGTTTTCAGTAGGAGGCTTCCAAGCGCACGGCCATAAAATTAAAAAAAAACAGAAGTATTACAACGCACATCTTACTTCCTAACGATGGTCCTAGATCCGTATTCAAGACACATTATATAATTTAATGACACCTTAGCCTTCGCTGAAACCACTGAATGGCAAAGGCTTCCTGGTTCTTAGCCTCACTGAGTTAGTAGCGTAATTACCCAGGCGTGGGTCAACAGGCGGGTTCCGACAGCATTACTTTGACAGAAATATCTCTTGCATCATACCCCCGCAAGATAACCATTCCCTGCAAAGTCGACAATATGCTGCCATGATCACCACGAGGCCAGAAAGCTGATCTGCCTGAAGCAATGGACGGAATGCCGGCGACCTTCACAACTTTTACTCGGCCAGCTGGAAACTTCCAATACAAAAATCCTGCACAACGCTGCCTGTACCAATACCTCAGTCCCGACATGTACAAATCGAAGCATTACACAACGCCAAGATGCTGCGGAGAAATGAGCGCCGCGCCAGAGCTGTTCGCGTTTCTTCCGCCCCGCAATAGCGAACACGAGCGACGGTACGATCAACAGGACGTCGCTTCCATAAAGCAGATGAGCAAAATTCACGAATGGATCGCTAAGTTTTCGCGCGTGTGCACAAAAGCTCTCCTGGGGTTGAGTTTAAGTACATTCACTTTCAAAAAGAAAAAAAACGGGGACTGATCTCCCACCGAGCAGCCCTCACCACGGTCCGTTTATGGACGGTCTGCTGTTCTAGCAGGAAACGATAGGCCTGGTCGCCATGTAGCATCTCACATGAACTTGACCATTGCGGTTTTTATCGCTCTCATACGCTACGGGCCATGCAGCGCGCCGCTCGGCCGCGCAACAGCTGGAATAAGTTGCACATGAAATTACGGTAGTTCTTATGGCCTCATCCCGTTGAATGATTATGAGAAAATATAGTACATGCATTGATGTTTCGGCTACAAGCACGTGACAGCAGCTAATCGATGACAAAATGAGCAAGTTGAATGCGCTTTATTTGCAGCACATTACTAAAGCTGTCAGAACAAGAATACCTGCCGTTGTTTTGTCACAAACCACATTTTTAGACAAAAGCTTGCAGCCAAAAAATCAATGCATCTCGCTCCCCAGCGTGAGTTATTCAACGAGAAATAAGGTCATTTGTATGCTGTTACGCATGTGTTATGTTCGGTCGCAGCTGCACGGAACAACTTACGACATTTTGTGTCTAAATAGGCTGATGCAGATGCAATGCTGCATCACGCGTATAAACACCAAGAATGAAAACTATCACTGCAATGCGATGCGCTGCATTGCATGGTGGAATCCCCAGTCAGCAGGAGGAATCCGCTCCAAATCGGACATGCACAGACAGTTCCCGCCAACAAAGTAAGCGCGCATCATCTCATTTACATTGTGGCGATGACAGGAGCGGATGGACGTGAAGGACAGGTCATATACATGCAGAATGTCAGCATGCAGATCCTTGAGTCAGAATCTCCAGAGGCTTGTAGCATGAAGCTAACCCCTAAGCAGCGAACTGGCGCCCGGCGAGAGAACGGCCCGTGATCAGCAGTTAGTCACGACCATTCACGACCGGTCACGACCGGTGGGCGCGGTCCGTGAGCGGCGAGGCAACGATCAGCGAGCCAGGCTGGCGCCGGGACGTTGGGCGCAGTTCACCCCGGAGACAATTCATTTTTTTTGGTAGGTCAAGGGGAACTGATTCCTTCAAAAAGCAGTACCGTTGGAGCTGGACCATATTCGGCAGCATGAGCTTGAAGAATCAGCCACGCGACGGGTCAACCATAAACAATAATCACCTACAAACAAGATTTTCTTTTCCGGACAGAATTCAAACGCGCTGCAAATAAAATACACAACATTCCCTCATTTTCTTAACCAAACATGCCTCCAATGCATGTTTCTGAAGCTCAAGGAACAGCCCACCTCTAACCTGATATCGCTGGATCTGACTCAGTGGAAACCGGCTAAATGACCTATAAGTCGGAGTTGTGATTTCCTTCACCGGGTTGGAATCAGGCAGTGTGGAGGCTTAGAACTCAGTGCACGGCAGGACCATCAGCGACAAACGCATCTATAAGGTCAGCTTTGTCGGGCTGCAGCGAGTATGCGGCGAAGCGGCAGAAGTTAAGTGATCTCATTCAGGCAGTGGAATGTCATTGGTGATAAATCCTAAAACACCCGTGATTACATAGATGACACATTTCGACCATATTCAGGACAGAGCCCCGTAACTGACAGCTGGCCCTCCGATTCAGGGCGCCTCTGAAGCATTCGCTGTTGCTGTACTCAGGAGATGCCGTTTAGTGTGTGTATGTGTGCATTGCTTTGACCTCCTCATAATGTCGGACCCTGCCGGTTTCGCCAGTTCGCAAGAATGTCGCGGCAGAATTGGACCGGCGTCACCGTATCCCACCAGTGCATGGTAGGCATATCAACAGAGGGAGCGAGCGTTTGCCTGCACTTACCGGCGTTCAGAAGGGCAGCCTCGGAGCTGGGCGGCCCGGCCGGCGGCGCCGACGGTCCGCACGGTCCGTCTCCTCGCGCCGCCCTCGTCGCTGCCGTCGTCGCTGAGGGCGTTCTCCTCCTTGTCCTCGGCCGGCGGACGGCCGTCGGCCGGCGGCTCGGCCTTGACGGTGGGCCGCACGCTCAGGTCCAGCTCCAGGGCGAGTCGCGCGCGCGCCCAGCGCGTGATGGTGGCCGGGATGCGGGCAGGTGCTGGGCGACGATGGCCGACGGCGGCCGCTCCTGCTCGCTTCGCGGCCCGCTCCCGGCCCGGGCTGTCGCCGCTCTCCGGACTGTCTTCGCCTATGGCCGGCGCGCCCGCTTGCAGGGCGGCGGCGACACGCGGCCGTGGGCTGCTTCGGCCGGCGTCGGCCGGCTGCTGGCCGTCGCCGCCGGTGACTCGCTCGCCACAGCGTGCGGGCTGGCAGAGCGGCGCGTCACGTCTGGAACGCGGCGGCGGCATCGGCAGAAGACAGCGGCCATCGGCGGCGGCGGCTTCCTGCGCGCTGACGGCAGCGGCAGCGGCGGCACGGCGCAGCGGCATCGGCAGCTGCAGCGGCAACGCGGCGGCGGCGAGGACGGCGGCTTACGATTGCTGCCGTCGGCCAGGCCTTTTATTTTCAGCGACTCGGCCGTTTTGATCAGCGACGCCAGCTGGTCTTGGCAAACGTGACTTCACCTATGTACATGTAGTCCACCAGAGCCCTGAGTTCACTGAAGGGAACATCCTTCAGGATGATGACTGGGTGGTTTTCTGATGTGCTGAGAAAATCGCCTGCAACGGAAGCACGTAGTGAGCCCATGCCTTCACTTGAGTGGCGAAATGGTCTCTAAAAACCATGCCACAAAGCTGTGACCACAGCACCGCAACTGTTAAACAAGTAATATTTCACAACCAATGCTATCACAGCAATCATAATTTGAGCCATCATTTACATACACACAGTTCAACAGAAACCACGCCCCTACATAACTGTAACATGAGGCTCCTGTCACCCCCCCCCCCCCCCACAAACCTTTCAATAACTTTTAACACCAGCTGCATACAGCTATCTGCTACCATCTGCAGCTATCCTGAACCCATGAGCTCTCCACAGTCCTGCTGACTGACATACTCAATCTCCTGGGTGGCAGTACATACCCTGAAATACTGGCTGCAGGCAGAGAGGACCACCTTGTGCGCACGCACTGGCCGGCCCTCGGCATACAGTGTCACATCCACCAGGCTCTCATCCTTGAGCAGTGACTCAAACACGTTGATCAGAGTGGTGTGGTGGTGGTTCCACCGCAAGCAGAACTGCTGGTCAGCCATTCCGGATCTGGGAAAGACATGGGCACGTCAGCACATTGCAGGCCAGTCCTGATTCTAACTTGGGGAGGGTTACCAGGAAACATACAACGCAGCACAGTTTGATGATGATTTGGGCTTTACAGCAACCAACTGCCAAGTGTGTGATGCTGATCACAATAGCATGTCACATGCAGTGAGTCTCATTTAAGATCAATATCCTATGCATGACCTTTGTCCATGGCTTCCAGCTAGCATCCTCAACAAAAGGAGCTTATGTAAATTGAAGCAGCAAAATCCATGTTAAGGGCTAAATCATGCATCACAAAACAAGCTTGCCCTAATGATCAACTCACAAAAATGCACATTGTAAGATTGAAAGATTTCCATTGAAAAATAATAGTATATACCCTACAAATTGTAGAAATCAACCTTGTTTACTAGAAAGTCCTATGTTACAACTGATGACAATATCAGCTACTTTTAAATGATTAATACAAAACACTGACCGCAAACTGGATTGGAAATCCAATGTCTACATACTTAAATAAAAAGAGATCAAATGGTCTACATCTAGGAAAAATTTTCATGAACCACAAAGTTACAGCATAGTATGATTCCTAGGCTACCTTTATTTTACCCAGGAGTTACCTGGTTTGGCAGCTACAATTTACTGAAGCTTATGATAGTCTTGCAAGTCAGAGAGAAGTGCTAATACTTCACGGCAACATTGCTTTAGTCCTTAGATTCATGGCCAAAGACAATGCACAAATGTGTCAAAATCTTGCTCGCAAAGGACATATTGTAAAACTTGCTTTTGGTTATCAAGCCTGACTGGTTGATATGGCAAGAAGGAAATTAAGCTTGAATACAACGAATCTCAAACTCTATTAAAGTATAGCGTTTGGTGTACAAAAAGGATCCAAAAAGGCTTTGGCACTGAAA